TCCGTAGTTTGACACATGTGAGATAGCAAGCTGGCCACCTGCACTTCGCAGTCTCGTAAGCGTTTCGTAGCATACGCAGAAACGCCCCGATGCTTCAAGCTCGTGGTGGTATCATTCCGAAGGCAACGCTTTATGTCTTTGTAATCAAGACTATAGCGAGTCGCTGCAACATTGCCATATCGTCAAGCCAAAAGCCCACACTGAAAGACGGCCAACATGCGAACGGGTACAGCACCGAAATAGACACGCGATCAGAAGAAGTGAACGGTACGAACAAGCTGTGCCGAGAGTGAGAAGACGGGTTGATACCGTCCCATTCACTTGGCAACGCTTTCAGGCCATGAAAGTGGCAGCAAAGGCAGAGACCAAGGCCCGGCGCCTCAGACGCTTCACTCGTGCGCCCTGGGATGTCGCACATTGGCACAGGAAGTCCTTGACTCGCTCTGGGGTCTGCTTTGCGAAAACGCAGAAAGAGATGCCTGAAGCCCAGCAAGGAAGAAATATGATTGCAGCTCATACCAGAGACCCAAGAGCCCTTTTTGCAGACATGAAAGCTATCCTGCCTGACAGGCACACACCGAAGACAAGATTGTGACGAGGGAGCAGTTCATCTCTACCTACGGCCACGAGAGCAACCTGCAAGTGATAGTTCGAACAAACCAAGCTCGAGATTTGCCGCCAAGCCGAGATTGCCCCATGTTCCCCGCTTAGAGATTCGTGTTTGTTGCAACAGGCATGCGCAAGTTCCTGGACTTGATCAACGCCCACACAGAAGATCCGGATCATGTTTTCTCCATGATTGACAGAAGCTTTGCCGAACCCGAATGGTTTGTTCTCCAACTGTCGCGTATTCACTGTCAGATCTAGGGGCACTTCGCCGCCGATAATGAAAAACTCGACTTACAGTCAACCCGCGAGTTGCGTGAAGATGCATCCCCGATAAGAGCAGGAGGAGGAGGATTTGGTGGCCGTGCTTTGGTGGTTGCGGTTGTGCTGAACGGTCTTGACGAAACCTTCGAATCACCTTTTGGACACCCTCGAATTACCGGCCATATATCGCATGTCGACCGAATACGGCAGTTCTTCTCCAAAACAGCAGAGGGCTGACAGCTTTGGGCTGTAGTGGCAGGATGCAGCAGGCGCAGGCAATGACAAAAATCATTGAGTAGTTGACACTCTTAGGTGTGAGCATGGGTAGAACAGCCTAGCACAGACAGGTTCGGAGCTTGACTCCAAACTTTCAAAAGTGTGGATAGGCACAAGGCGAACCTTTCATGCCCATCTTCCTCTCATGCCTTTGAGGAGCAATTCTGCTGGAAGTGCCTCAGGGCATACGTGGCTGTAAGTGCTGACCTGGTAAGATTTCCAAGCCCCAGGCTTGGAAGCAATACGTAGCAAGCAGGTCGATGGCGATGACACTGCTGGTGTTTGCGATCATGGTATCGTTGGTGTGAGATTGCGGGATACTATCCGGTACTGTATCTGGTGGTTTCAGCAGCTGGTTCGAGGAACAGCAGTGACAGGCTCTGTTGTTGCATTCGGAAGAGTGATAGTTTCCAGCCTGGTGAACAATCGCAATGCTCCGGCTTAAACAGATAGTCGTCGGCATACAGAAAATTTGGTGATGCTGACGGTTAATGTTCAGCATGCGGGTGGTTGTCAAAACTATGGTACCTTTTTGGGTCCCTAATATAATACGGCATCTAATATTTAGGGTACCCCAAAAAGGACCATAATTTTGACAACCACCCATGTATCTCTGCCATGGTCGCCTTGAGCTATAGCTGCATACACAAAGTATCCCATGGTGGTGGTGAGTGTCTCTCAGGAGATGGCGATGGGTCGTTGACAGCTCCTGAATTCCTTGTTTGTTGCGAGCGCCTCATGGGCCCCTCGAAGGCTCGCGGTGGCCGCGGTAGTATGGACTTGTTTCGACACCTGAGGACTTGTCCTGCTCAGACAGGCAATTGCATGTGGTAGTGGTGCATGCGAGACTGCCACGAAATTCTGTGTTGTTTCTAATCACCAGCAAAACAATCGACTGCCAGAGGCGAGCATGATCGTGAAGATTGCGAACGAAGAGCAGCTGCGTCGCAACGAACTGTTTTCATTCCACTGTTCTAGATGCCTGTGCACCAAGAACTGCGCAGGATCTAAAGAAGCTTGATGAACCGCTTGTTCGGCTTTGTAGACAAGAGCCGCGCGCTGCCAAGGCGCGAGCGAAGCTTTCAGCAGGACGGATCCGGCCTTTGCGACTGGAGTAGAAGTTGGTACTGGTGGCCGAGTTGTGATGCAGTTGGAGCATGTTGGAGTTGAGACAGCTCGCAGCTGAAAAGATGCCTCAGCACCTGACAGTGAATAAACACATCGTACTTCCCATGGCTGAAGTGCATGCGCATAACATAACCCACCACAGGATCAGGACCACGCCTACATGAGCAACCTAGATCCATGAACGGGCTGCCTTAAGGCCATGACATGGCTCACGTTGGATCCTGCTTCCTTCCGTCGGCCAAAGGGGCCAGGGCAGTCCACCCGACATCTGTACCTTGCGAATTGCGGATACGGTTTGGGTGAGTCGGTCGAGACAGTGCTGGAGAGGCTCCAGGCCCAAGCCGAAGTTCTTGGCTTGCATGTGGGTACAGGTGGTGTGTCATATGCAAGCTTCTCAGATGCCGTCACTGCCGAGAAGGTGAAGGCATACTTGGAAGGTTCGACCAAGTGGGTCGTGCGATTTGCCGAGATGTCTTCTGAAGTATCATCAGGAGTGCTTCTCCCTGAGAGCGTAGCGGCGACAGAGCATGTAGTAGTACCTGGTGTGCACTTGGTGACTAATTTCATAGCGGAAGAAGAAGCCTCCAAGCTATTGGAGGAAATTGATGGACGGTCATGGGACACGAGCATCAAGAGGCGCGTGCAGCACTATGGACATGCATTCGATTATGCGACTCTGAAGATTGCAAAGCCCGGAACGGTGCCGGCCATGCCTGCTTTCGCCGAGGAGCTCATATCTAGATTGAAAGGTTCCTGCTTGATGCCACACGAGGTAGACCAGCTTACCATCAACGAATACGAGCCGGGGGTTGGGATTGCTTTCCACGTGGATGCGCATTCGGCCTTCGAGGATGGTATTGCAGCAATTACACTGGGCTCAGGAATTGTGATGGAGTTTCGAAAAGCTGACGAGACAAGTGGGAAGCTGTCTATGGGAAGGCACCATCGGATGGCACCCCCACAACCGGGGGCCGAAATCTCCAAGAACGTTTGGCTTCCACCAAGATCCCTGCTGGTTATGACTGGTGAAGCTAGATTTGCTTGGCAACACGGGATAGCTTGGAGGAAGACCGACTGCTTAAAGGAGGGCGAAGTCCTACCACGTTCTCGCCGTGTATCTCTGACATTCAGACGGGCACGCCGGGGACAAGCGTGCAAGTGCCAGTGGCCATCACTCTGTGACAGCCAGAATCCGGAAGCCCATGCTACGCCGACGCGAGTCGGCTCTCTGTCATCAGGCTGACCAACGGACGTTGTTCCGTCTGCCAAAAAGCCGATGCCTGCACGCAGTTTGTTGTCATGTAGCGAGTCTACCAGTTTTTAAAAAATGCGCCAGCCCGCAGGAAAAAGCTCTCAAGACGCTGGCTGCGGATTTCAAGGCCGAAGCGCGACATAGCTTTCACGTGGGTGTATACTGTGGCTACAGGCATAGATGCAGCCAAGCATCGCGCGGGATGGAGTAGTGATCAGAAGCTCATCCCCTCATAGCATCTCATAGCCTTCTTGTCAATGCAGGCAGGGCAAGAAGAGATCCTCAGCATCCTTGCGTGACTTGGGCCCGGTTTTGATGCGTGAGGCATGCAAAAAAATGTTTATGAACGCAGCAAGTCCGTCGACTTCTCGTGAAACGGGACGCATTCGCTGAGAGCCAAGGAATCGTGGCTCCTCCCGATAGACTGCGAGCTTTCAGAGACAAGGCTGCAAGTCAAGACGCAGAGCTGTGCAGTGTCGGGAATCTTCAAGACCGTGAGAAGCTGAGCTGGTTTCAAATGCAGGCCATGCGCCAGCACGGCATGGAATGGTACTTAGTACTTTTTTTATTGTCCATCTGGCTCTGGTTCGGCGCCGCCCCAGGCGCCAGGGTAAGCAGTGCATAACTTCATAGTTTTGTGGCGAAAGCAGAGCAGATGGACACAAGCTGCCACAGTGCATAGACAAGGCTGACGTCCTTGGGAACTACCGTTTTAAGGTTAGGCTTTTTGCTTGACCTCACCTTTCTGACGTGGACGGCAAGGCTGTGACAGAGTAGGCATTGGGAAACGGTCCGGAAATTATGAGCAGCCGTAAGGGTATGCGTCTGATGTTTTCGAGCTTTCAGAGAGTCACCGCCACTAGCGACGTATTTCACCTTGCGGGCCCTTCGTCCCAAAGTGGAGTGGGCTGCAGCGACGCTTGAAAGCGCAGCTGCCGTTGCCTTCAAGCGGAGCGCCGCAAGCTGCTGCTCGACCAGAGGCTTCCAGCTCTGCTTCGGCACGACGGCCCCCGAGGCACCCAACATGTCCAAGTAAAGACTCCCAGGGTCCATACAGCACCTGGAAGCCTTTGACTACAGTTTGGATGCTTCTGCATCTGCATCGTAGATTCGTAGATCCTTTTCTGCCGCACGACACAGGGGAGACCAGACAGGACACACGGACGCAAGGCCCAGGCCACCACCCGAATCCAAGGCAGAACAATCACAAGGAACTAAGGAACCTTGCCTGGGCACGAAGCTCCACAGATTGAGATGCTGGCATCCACTCCGCCCCCAGCTGGTTTGTCCTTTGCCAGGGCCTTCCATGCGTGCTGAGGATATCCAAAGCTCCGGGTATCCGGCACGCAAAATCAGCAGACAATCATGCAGCATTCGGAGATTTGTGGCAGCAGAGGTAAACGGCAAGTCCTCGACTAGGGCTCGCAACAATTGCCACTTCACGAGCATGCTGACAGATGCTGTCTGTATCGAGGAACAGCATCCAGTTTGCGCGGTCAGTGGCTCAACAAGGCTGGGGACAGTAATCAAACGAGTTGCGAGTCCAAGCAGCATCAGACAGCTGCTGGGGGATAAGGTGAAGGCATTTGGATTCAAAGTTAAAGTTTACACCATGACGAAGCGGTCAGGTGGCTTCGTTCTTTGCGTTGACTGGCATCGCAGCAGACTTTGCAGCGCAACGCGGGCCTGTATTGTCGCCAAAGCCGTAGAGCTGGGCTGGTCGATGAGCATTTACCTGGAATTCCTGGAATGCACACTCAGACGTTGAGCCATGACTGCCAGGTGCGACACAACAGTCGCATCTATGGCGCGGTAGCCGGGGTTCTGTTAACAGGGTGCTGCCGGGCATGGTGGACTTTCAGACTTTGGGAACCGGTGATCGTCAATAAGATTGCTCGGAGATGGTGCTTGCAGATCATGCATCCTCTACCATATACCAGCACGTGTGCAAAAAAGGTTTCTTTATGTTGCTCTGCATATAGTTGGGGGCCCCCGGCAACCATCTCCCGAGTACAGCTCGGCGCGAGTCAGCTGTCCTGGCGTGACGTTGAAGCCAGATGCAAAAGGGGTTTAGGGCGGTTTTCCTAAGGGGGCCCGGCTGCAAAAGGGTTTTCGATGGGGCTAGCAGAAAGTCAAGATTACAAGATGGATCAAGATGGTGCGCGACCTCCCTCTCGGAACCACCACCAAGATAGGCAAGCCTGTACGCCGATCTTGCCCCACCCCCGACGCCGAGCAAGCTTGCGTACCATATTCACCCCCACCAAAAAGGTTTAAAAGCAAGATGCGCAAGATTGCAGGCCTATCTTGTCCCAGGATCGGCTCCAAATCCCCGGCACACAGTACTATTACTAGTACTTGGACTTGGGCTAGGAGTAGGACTACCACCACTACTGCTACGACTACTACTACCACCACTACTACGACACCAGTTTGTACGAGTACGAGTACTTGCTAACTGTACCAGTACCAGTTAATTGCCTGTACTGGTAGTAGTACTACTACTAGTACTGGCATATCGTGTTGGGAAATGAATTCCGCTTTTTGTGACCAAAATTCTTGCTAAAGGTGCAAATCTTGCAATCTTGCTTGCACCACGATGCAGGTTTTGGTTTCAATCGGCACATGCACGTGCTCCTGTGATTTCTCCTGGATTTCAATCGCAAACTTGGCGCTCTGGGCGCACAACTGCGCGCAGTGCTTGCTGATACCGAGCTAGTATGGATAAGGAATGGCTGTAGGGCGTGGGCTGAGAGTTTACCAACCCCTGGCCTGGTTCTATGCGTGTGGGAGGATCGCATGGTGAATGTTGCCTTGTCTTTAACTAGATTCTAGATGACCTTCTTTCATGCGACTTTGCGGTGGCTTATTCAGAATTTGATACAAGATTGAACCGCACCAAAACATGCACTGTTGTTTTGCATTGTGCTGTCTGCTGATGGCCAATATTAACTGAGTAGAGGATAACAAGAGGCTGGAGATGGCCGGAGAAATCTTGTTTTAGTAGGCCTCAGGCAGGTCGTTTGTGGCGGGGAGTGTAGGATGAAGGCAAAAGTCTTTCAAAACGAAAGAATTTGGTTTGGAGGTCTTGGGCTCCCTAATAAACCCGCTCCAAGCACCCCTAAACCCCCCTACTGTACGACTAGCATAGTACTACTGTACTACTGATGTACTGCTACTGTTCTTCCACTTCACTTTACTACTACTGCTACCACTGTACTAGTACTGGTACAGCGTGTTGGGAAAAGAGGCCCGATATTCGACCAAGATCGTGCAGTCAATCTTGCTAGTTTTTTTTGGAGGGGGGCGGGGGGGGGGGGCAAGATTGCAGACAAGCTTGGTACCAAAACCACTTGCACAACTTGAGGATGGGAGAAAGGGGGAGGGGAGTCAGGGGAGGCCTATACAAGCTTCGATGGCAAAGAGGTTCTTGCCTGCACAGGTGTTGGACGGCGCATCGAGCTTTTGCAAGCGGACTCCCGTGACCTGTAGAGACCTAAGGTATGACGACGTTGTTTCGCCGGCACTCCCCCTGCTGCCACTTCCATCGCAAGTCGTGGATTCAGGCATCGTGTCCTCCGGCCTGCAGCCGAACGCTCAGCATGGCCTGGTGTTGACTTAGAGTCTTAGACGGAATGCCAAAACATCGAACATCCGCTCAAAATGACCGGAAAGGACATGGGCCCAGAACAATCATGCTTCCGAAGCCAGAATTGTCCATGAGGTCAGCGGCGTGTTCCTTTCACCTCCTTGGGCGGACCAGGCGTGCCACGAAATTCCTGCATGGCGCACTTGGCGTTTTTATGCTCTAAATGCCAAGGGCTTGCTGCCACGAGGGCAGGCCGAGCTGGGCTTCTCGCTGCGAAGTTTGGGCCATGCCAGGAGCTCGGCTCATGCGCCTGTGCGCCTGCCAGATGCTGCAGGCTGCACTCACTCGGTTCTGTTTGCTGAGGGCCTCGACGCTGCCGAGCTGCTGGTGGACGCGCTAAAGCTGGGGCCGGGAGCCCGATTCGGAGTGATGGGAAACCACACGTGAGATTGATTGCATAATAGCTTGCTTCGGGACACGGCGCTTACCAAGAATGAGGCGTGGTGCAGCTCTCTTCCTGCCACGTGCTGCGCCCTCAATATCTGCAACAATCGCACAGGATACCACCATCGCAACCGTGGTTTGAATTGTGCAGCTCCGACTCATACCGTGGCTTGCTGAGCAGGACCTGCCTCAAGAGGCATGGTATTTCACGCACCTTGAGGACTGCAAGTGCCTCCCTAAATTGCAGCCGAGGTGACATCAAGCGCCGAGGTGACCCTGCAAAGCATGCACTCACGATCGTTTCGGAGACGCTAGCTTGTAGCACTTTCTGCTCGTCAAGTTGCCATGTTGCACGGGAGATGTGAATCGCGACGACCTGAACGTGCCCACAGGGCCGACGGAGACAAAAGAAACTGCAAAAGCTCAAAAGGCCGCTGCCGACTCCCAGCCCCCGGCCACCGCACCGAGCCCAAAGGCCCAGTAATAACACCCTGCAACAGCTGCCCAGCAGGGCCCCACCATTAGCCACCTTAGAAGCCTTAGCCTTAGCCCACCTCTTCACCGACTACTACTTGGCCTTCTGACCATGGCCATGGATGTCACAGCAATGATGAATGTCCCAGACATCTCCCGGCAGCGATTTACGGGCAAGGCAGGAGATTCCAATTGGTGCTTCCACCTTTCGGATCTTGAGCATGCAGGTCACCCGATTTCACGCAGAGCGAGGCTGGGGTGCCTCGTCAGGAAGCTGGAACTTAGAATTGCGCTCCTCTGGCACGGAAGCAGGAGTTGATAGAGCGGGAGTTGTATTGATACAGACAGCAGAAAAACATTGATGTTAATTGGCCTGCATAATTATAATTACAAGACAAGCTGTGATCCTGAGGATTCATAGATCTCAACGGCACCGACATCATGGTTCACGTCAACGACTGCAAGCCAGAAGATGTCGAGACTCGTGCAACAAGTTGTTTTTTTCTCGCCGTCACGCCCTGGGTGCAGAAACTGAAAACACTCCGATGGTTTGGTCGCTGCCGAGGAGCTTTTCACAGGTGGCCAGCCGAGACCTGGAGACATCGTTTCTTTCGAGGTCGAGCCACGCAAGGACGCGAGTGTCAGGAAGTCAGACTCTGTCTCTGTGTGTGTGTGTGTGTGTTTGTTACACGCCTGATTCGAATGATGCTGTCGGACAGGACAACCCTGGCCACATGCAGGCCAAAAGAGCATCTCGGGCTGATGTGGTGTAATGGCATTCGGCAGTTGCGTGCTCACATTCCGGCTCAAATGATTCAAATGTGTCTTAGGTCATGGGTGGTACGGACGAGCGGTGCTGCAACACAAAAGGCAAGGGCCAAGCTGCCCCAGCGCAAGGCGAGGCGCGATCGGCGAAGCCGAAGCCCCTTACTGTCGCAGTGTCGCACTCGCCCAAGCCGCCGCAGGCACCGGAAGGCACTTTGGTGTCATCAAGGCTTTCAACACGAAAGGTCCCAATCCCAGCTGGCCTTCGGCCGCTGATGCCGTGGGGTACGGCAGACTTGAGTTGAGTTTCCGTCTCGGGTGCAGGGTTTGCGAGCGCATATATCATATGTCATGTAAAGCTTTGAGCACTGTCGACCGATGCCGTACGATTCTTGTCATACGTCGTAAGCGCCGTTCTTCTGCCGGCAGTGGGTTTGACGGTCAGTTGCCTTCGCTCTGCAGACAAGCCAAGCAGTTGCTGGTACACGGGTTGCATGCACACGAAGCCGGCTTCGGAGGCCTTGGGTGGGTGCAATGCATGGATGGATCAACTGCCTGGATCGATCTGACCGACTGCATCGGTTCACGGCCAGTCACAGGCCAGCTTGGCTAGCTTGGCACGGCTCAGCCTATGACCTATGAATCTGAGTTGAAGCTTAAGACACCTCGAGCTACGTGCACGATGGTTTCTTCTCGCATTTCCCTGTCGTCCGTTGCATGTGAATTCAGGTGACCGGGTCCAGTTTGACCTGCAGCCCTGCGAAGTGAAGCCAGGGAAGATGCAGGCGGCCGGATGACATTTTGCAATCAAGCCTTTGTTTCTTCTTGAACTGCTTCGGGCGGAACGAGATGAACCGTTCTGAAAACAGAACAAGTCAACAGCAGGCAGTCAACGTTACTGGTGGCACAGCCCCAATGGATCTTAAGGATGCAGTTCTGGGCGACTGGGCCATCAAGTCAGTTTAGGAGGAGTGTACTGTTTCCGTATCTCGGTTGTCGCCTGTCATAGTTTACATAGAGCTTTCGTTGGTATCGTCTTAGTTCGTGAGTCCTTTCGCTGCCGGGTCAGCAACAAGGCAAAGACATGGCCAAGGCCAAAGCAGCTGCGCACCTGTGCTGCATTGCTGAGGTAGTGCAACAGTTTTCCTGTGCTGATGCCCGTCCAAATTATCTTCGCCACGTCGGATTCAGGCCAACCCCTGTACTCCAGCTGAAGCGAAATGCGAATGGCCACCTAGTGGGATGTGTTCCTCGGCAAGAAACAGCTTCGTGAATAGCTGGATGAGAGATAGAGAGGGAGGGAGGGAGAGAGAGAGAGAGAGAGAGAGAGACAGAGAGAGAGAGAGATGGGCGTACTCTCTGATGCACTTAATGGTGTACAAACATAAAGGAAAAGCATGAGAAATTCAAAGCCATGCCTTTAAGCGGGGGAGCCGAAAGTTATTTTATGTGTTATCCTGCAGTAGGGTTCCTTTTTTGATTGACCATGCTTATAAGTCAGGCGAGAACCCGCATGTTCTTTTGTGGATGCTTGTCATGAAGTCCGCCCCATTAAGTGTTGTCTTTGTTAACCTGAAAACAACGATGACGAGCGTGCACGTTGCAGATGAATGCACTGCCCTCGCAAAACAATTGCGAGTTCTCCCAGCATCCGGGGGAAGGCACATCGTATCTACTACAAGGTTATCTCCTTCTTTAAAAAGTGCCTTCAATGCTGGTAGAAACTTTGTCTTGCGAGAGTGTACATCCCACCTCTTCTGTCATCGTATCTAAACTAGCTTTAGCATATGGGGGGATTACACTCGTTCTTCACCCCCCGAAAACCTGCATAACATACATGCGGGTGGGCTTGATGCCCGGGGGTCCTGATCGACCCCTATGCCGGAGAGAGAGAGAGAGAGAGAGAGAGAGAGAGAGAGAGAGATGGGCGAGGGGGTAAAGCCCCTGCACCACAACCCTGGCGAAAGAAAGAAAGAAAGAAAGATGGGCGTACATAACTTATTCTACAACTGCTGTCCTCTCTGGTGGCAATCTTGAAGTCCTCGCAGCTCTCAACTAGCTCCGCGGAGCGTCGTGGAGCTTATTGCAAGTAGCACTGTGCATCCCACCAACAGACGGGCAGCACCTGCGAGGGCTTGCTCTTACACTTCCGCAAGCCCGGTGAAAGAGAGCAAGCAAGAGAGAGAGAGGGGGAGTGACTGTCGCACAGACTACAGACGCCGGTGCGCACCCGCATGCAGGGAGGGTTGACTTTCTTCGGCCGAGTGCAAGAGAAAGAGAGAGAGAGAGAGAGAGAGAGAGCTCTCACCCCTGAGCAAAGCAAGGCAAAGAGAGAGAGATAGAGAGCAAGCAAGAGAGGAAAGAGAGAGCGCGAGAGAGAGAGAGCGAGGGAGGGAGGGAGGGAGGGAGAGAGACAGAGAGAGAGAGAGAGAGAGGCAATCAGCATCACAAATGGCGGACCCATGCGGCCGAGGGGCTTAACTCGCCCCTCAAGCCCTGCTGAAGAAGGCAATCAGCATGACATTCTCGATAGCTGAGGTGTGCGCCGCATGTCGACAAAGTGGTATGTCAGACATCCCCGTCATGACGACGGTGACTGCGCGAAACTCTGCGATCGAACCTCCTGCGAGCAACGCAGCATTGCCTGGGCCGAATGCGGGCATCGCCCTTCCCAGCATGATGCATGAAGCGCCGATGGCAGGGATGATCAAGCAGCACGTATCCGGAAATAACAGATCTAGCCCCTACAGCGGTGGCATGGGGAGCATGGGCAGGCTGTACTAGCCATTGCCACCCCACGGTCACGCATTATTGAGACCCTCTGATTGAAAACAGCTGCCCGTGCGGACCATCATGTTGCAGATACACTTGCTGAACAAAGCAAGTGCTCGTTTGCCACAGACTGACGCGCTGGCAGCACCTTTAAAAAGAGCCGGCGGCTTGCTGAGAAGGTGCAAACCCATATCAAGAGCTGAAAGCTAGTCGCATTGGGCATCAGCCAATCGTCCCGTAGAGCGGGAAGCCGGGAGGCAGGCATTCCTTCGCCGGTTGGCTTCCAGTTCCACTTTTGCCCAGAGTTCTCTAAGTCAAAGCTTCGTCCTGTCGTCGTCGTAGTACCTATGTTTCTGAAAGGCTGCTTAGCAACAGAAGGCACCAAAATGCAACAAACACACCCCTGACCCGTCCGGTAGTTGCACTCTTGTGCCAGCATGAAAGATCATGAAAGATCTCTGCAGCCCTAGCCCCGGGGCTTCGGATGCTGAAGACAACGCTGAGTCTTCTGTCATTCTGCAACTCTCGGGTGACGGCAGGCAGAGCTCGAATCTCCACTGAGGACTCCTGCCGGCAGCAGCTCCTGGCCAACGGTAACTGCTGTCTAGATCAGCGTGTTAATCCTGATGTGTTGCAGAGGCGGCTCTCCAGGCCGGGTACCACTTGGCAATGCGCGTCCAAAGATGGCTGCGTGTCAGGTGACGGCCAGCGAGGTGGAGACTTTCTGGCATTGCCTCCTGATGCGACCTGTGAGTCATGCCGAATCTTGTTCCTTCATGGTGGCAGCTGGTACTATGGCTCCCCTGAAACCGACGGCTACAAAGCACTGGCAACCAAGCTCGCGCACCGAACACGCTGCGTGATCATGCTGCCAGATTTTCCTTTGCTTCCTGTTGGAAAGTTCCATTCCATGTTGGCAGCATCTGTTGCGGCGTTGCAATACCTGAGCACTTACCAAGTTTGGGCGAGTTGCCGTCCGTCAACTCCTGTAGATATCTTCGTCGGAGGTGATTCAAGTGGCGGTGCCACAGCGCTGAGTGTTGTTCTGAGATGGAAGCTCGATCCCGATATTCTTCCATCTCACGCCTCGCTGGCAGGGGGCTTCTTCTGGAGTCCCTGGACCAATCTCATGTGCAACACCCCAGAGTACATTACAAATGCTTACATGCATGCACCACCGCCGACTGAAATATCTGATCACGTCGGTGACATCCTTTTCACACAGCGGCCCGTTGACAACATGGCGATGTTTCGCAAGA